ATGATATGTAGTCTGAGTAAGCGAGATATCAGCTCGGGATCACTACTCAGTTTTGTGATGTTGACTTTTTTGAAGGCCTTATAGGACAAAAAATAAGAGTCGATTTTTCAGAGGGGAGGAGATACGTTGGGAACGGAAAGATCCTTGATACGGATCTAGTGGCTGATAACGGTTAGTGGTGTTGTGCAACAAAAGATCACTCATTTTATTTGGGCCACTTTAATAAAGCGTAATGTCCTTACTTTTATGATCAAAGGTGTTATTCATGTGATCGACAGAGTATTGGAAGTTCCAAAGGATGCCTGTAAGATCTTTATTAAATTGATTCGCAAGAATATCCTTATTTATCTTCAGAATAATAATGGAAGTTATTATTGTCACAGGGACGACATTATCATCGATCGACCTCAAACTCTATGTCAATTATCTTCAATTAACGGGACTCAACGAATATATCAAGAATAGGTATCATATAACTGTGTTCGCCCCGACAAATGATGCAATCAGACATCAATTCAAGCCCTATGAAAGGGAATATTTCATTGGAGAATGCGGTGGGGGACTTCGTGACTTGGGTCGTCTCGCCAAACATCAATTACATTTTGATAATATCATTTACACCTCATCCATTGAACAAGGTTCTTCCGAAAGTATGTTGATTTTACAAGTTTTTAAATCTTTTTTTTCCTTGCAATATCTAAAAAATCCACTACTAACTCGAGTTACAACGGATAGTCGGAACGGAACAAGGTGAACCTTTAGAAATCAGACGTGACGAAAATAATATTCACGTTGCTAATGGTTTAATTACCCTCAAGGATGTACTGGCTGAAAATGGTGATTTTCTTTCTTTCTTTCTTTTTTTTTTTTTTTTTTTCTATCATTTACTTAATTCACAATTTATTCATTACTCCAGGTGTTATTCATGTCGTTAGTAATATCTCTGCTCCCCGCGAAATCTTTTTTAATGCCCACAAGTACCTATGTGGATTGAGGGCTACTAGAATGGTCGCAGCGTTCCTCAAATACAACCTAAAAAACAGTATAGAAAATTTAACTGCTCCTTACACAATTTTGGCTCCACAAAATGAATTTTATGATGACAGTGTGGTGGGTCTTGAGTCTTCGAGATACCATATTATCGAAGGAAAATATAAAATTATTGACTTTAGTAATAAGATGCTTGTCAAAACTGAATTGATAACTAAAAGGTTGCGAGATCACAGACAAAGAATAAAAGTCGGGGTCAATTCTAAATTGAAAAAAAACGGGGCGACCAGTGTTAATGTTCAATTTAATGATGCAGGTGTTGTGGGCGATCCTGGTACGTTTCCATTCAAATCAAACTTGCTATTTAATTCCTTAAATATCTATTAACTTACCGTCTTTTCTCGTAGTCGAAATTGGAAATTCCATCATTTACATATTGTCCAAAACCCTGTCTCCACCGAGTGACATTATATCCTTCGCCATGCGTGAAAAGCAGTTGAGCGCTTTTGTTAGTGCCGTGTACGCTAGCGACATGCTGTCAACCGTTCAAACCAGTGAATGGGTTACCGCTTTTGCTCCGACCAACAATGCGTTTATAAATTTGGGGCTTCTCACTAGCTATCTGTTGCATCCTGACGGTAAAGATGACCTTCGTGATGTTGTGGAATATCATATGCTTAATGAATCAGTGTACACCGAAGACATTCCCCAAGGCACATCTGAATACTGGACAATCGACGGTGCCTCATTGACTATGTTTCGTGAGGAAGATAAAATAAGCGTCAATATTGCGAACGGCACAGCAAACATCATTCGAAGTGACATTCTTACCTCAACCGGCGTTCTCCATGTTGTCGATTCCGTCCAATTACCCCCGACGTTGCACATCACCCTGGGAAAGATTCTCAAGGGGATTGGTGCCACCACAATGATGAATCTATTCAAGGTTGCTAATCTTTCTTTACTCTTAAACGATCCTGTTGATCCGTATATTATTATTTGTCCGACAGAAGATGCCTTCAAAAAAGTCAACATCACAAAACTGAGTAGTGATCCCGAGCTGATATCTCGCTTACTCAGACTACATATCAT